TTTTTTGAGACACAGTCTTACTCTGTTGCCTGGGCTAGAGTGCCGTGGCACCAGCCTAGCCCACAGCAACCTCAAACTGCTGGGCTCAAGCGATCCTCCCGCTTCAGCCTCCCGAGTAGCTGTGACTACAGGTGTGAGCCACTGTGCCTGGCCACCCTGGCAAGTTGTTTGATCACTGGGTGCCTCAATTTACTAAAGAGGGACAATAATAGCGCAACCTCACAGGACTGTGTATGTTCAATACTTTATATGTAAGCCCTAGAACAGAGCCTAGTGCAGAGTAAGCACTCGATTAATGTTGTCTATTATTACAATTTCTGCATCTCCAAGTCTCACTCTCACTCATCTTCCAAGGCTCCAGGCAAGGACCACCTTCTCCCCAAGGCCCTCTCCAGAGTCTTCCCTTTCTCTTGTTTCCCACGGGCACATCTGTAACTGCTGCATGACCCTTCTTAATGTTGTTTTTAAGCATCTATGTCTTATCTTCTCTACTAATCTGTAAGTGTTTGAAAGTAAGAGCTGCAATACTGCAATGCAATTCTGACACCCACTACCCAGAGTGGATTTGGACTCTGCAGGCTTAAGGGCACAGTCTTCAACAAAACAGCCCTTACTGCAGACTCAGACACCATCTGCACTTCTGACCAACTGGCTACAAACTCAAGGGTTCTCATAATCCCATCAGGTCTGATAATTCGCTGGAAGACTCACAAAACTCAGGGAAGTGCTGAGCTTACAATGAAGGTTTTATTATAAAGCGCACAAACCAGGATGAGCCAAACGAAGGCACGCACAGGGCAAGGGGCTCAAACACAGAGCTTCTGTGCTGTCTCAGTGTGGACTCACGATGCAAGTCCATATGTTCACCAGTTGAGCTTTGAGTGTCCATAATTTTTATTGGGGTTTCATTATGTAGGCGTGATTGAATGAATCACTGGTCACAGGACTGAATTCAATCCCCAGACCCTTCCCTTCCAGGGAGTTGGTGTTGATATTACCTGGCTCAAAGCCTCAAGCCCCTAATCACAGAGTTGGTCTTTCCATTGTGACCAGTCCCCATCCTAAATCATCTCTTTGTCGTAAACTCAGGTGGGTCCTGAGACCACCATGAATAACAAAGGCACTCCAATCACTGGGAAGGTTCCAAGGGTTTAGAAGCTCCCACCCAGGAATTCAGGACAAAGACCCAAGAGATTCTTTATTATAGAATAGGAGCCACATCTGATTCCTCTTTGAATCCTCTCCAGTACTTAGGACAATGCTTTGCACATGACAGGCACTTGCCTTTATTAAAACAATGGACAAAGGTGGGCTTCAGGAAGATGATGCTAGCAATTTATGTAGGATGGATGGTAGAGACCAGCTAAAACTATTGTAATAGACCTGATGTTATTTCATTGACTCTTTCAATATTCTGTTGATGGTGAGACTGAAGAAATACAAACCTTAAAAAAGATAAATTGTTCTATTGTTCCTCCTTCTCCTCTAAGTCCTGAAGTAATGTCCCGTATGTTGAATTTATCCACTGTAAGATGTAAGTAAGAAAGCCCTCCACTGGGACGTTAAAGGTAGTCTCAACTGCGAAGAACTTTGGCCCTCTCATTTATTTTAACTGATTAAAATAAACAGCTTGTACTAATGTTGCAAAGAGAGGAGTCATACTCAATATTGCCATGAACAATACTCTCAGTAGCTTTGAGAACGTTTATCGTGAAGATGCATTCACAACATTCACACCCCATGATATCAAGGATTTGCTTCAGAATAATCCTGGGTGCGGGGGAGGGCAGGAAGGGGAGTGTAAATGAAACAAGAATAGTCATGAGTTAATAATTATTGAAATTGGTGATGGGTGATGGATTTCTTTATACTCTGTGTAATTTTTTTCTTTTTTTTTTTTTAAGAGACAGAGTCTCACTCTGTTGCCTGGCTAGAGTGCAGTGGTGTGATCATAGCTCATTACAGTCTCCAACTCCTGGGCTCAAGAGTTTCTCTTGCCTGGGCCTCCCGAAGTTCTGGGATTACAGGCACAAGCCACCGTGCCTGGTAATTTTTATATCTATTTTACAGACTATATTTACATTATATATTTTTTCCTTTTGTATACTTTTGGCAAGTTTTCATGACAAAAAGTCTTTTAAAAAATTCTATGTCTTTGAAACTGAGGACCTCATACAAAGTGGTAGGTATCAGATTGGGGGCCATTCCACTTTAGGTAGTGAGCCTTAAAAACTGGTACTCCACCCAACTGATGTGAGTGTCTGTAGCATCCAACATCCAAAGGTGGGTGTAAGGTGAGGATGCCAGGGTTCACTGCTGCCCTAAGCCCACCTTTATTCTTCCTCCACGCATTAAGCATCTACTTCATTTTGTAAACCCGATGTAAGCCAATCCTCTCATTGGAAACACTGACATTAAGGTACCTGTGCGTTATGATAATTGCTTCCAAATGCTTTATTTAGAATCAAGAAAATAGAAAGCCACATCAACAAAGCTGGTTTATTTTTGGGAAAACTATGGAATCAAAGATGTAAGTAAAAATAATGCTAATGCCAGGATTGTGGCAGGAGTGCAAGCAGTGTGAGTTTTCAATATTAAAATCAAAATTGTAATGAATCGAAGTAGCAACAAATTCACCTGTGTGGGCTGGGTATTTGTGAACCCCTGTCTGGATCCCCAAATGGCTAGCTGCAGGCAAGAAGGAAGGGCACACAAGCTGCAAGAGACTTTCAGAGGTGCTGCTCCTGCTAGTATAACCCCCCGGGGGGTGTACCTCAAGAAAAATGAGATTCATTTGGAGCATAAACTGAAAGCATTTCTTGCACAAGCCCAGATGTAAGAGGCTATTATAAAATCTGTTTAACTAGAGGGATTACAAATAGCAAATTGCCAATAAAGAGTTGGCTTTTATGAGTTTGAAGGCAATCTAAGTGATTAGCATCCACTACAAGAAGTAAAGCATCTTGGATTAGAATACAGAAACCCCTAAACACTATTCTTTTTTTAAAAAAAATTATTTTAATCAAATGTTTGGTACATACAAAATATATCTATCACGTCTATGCAAGCTATGAAACATAATGCAATCAACACTTATGAGCGTGTTATGCCCAATTTAAGAGCTGTAACATTACCAGTTGCATCCACTTTTGGGTTCCCTCCCCACCCTCCTTTCCCCCACCCCCTACCAGTAACCAGTATCCTGAATTTTCTATTTATCATTTCCTTGCTTTTTATCACTTTATGAATCCCTTAAAAATATGTTTAGTTTTGCTTGTGTTTGAGCTTTACGAAACTGGCATCATATTATAGTATCTGTAGTCTCTTGGGACTTGCTTTTTTTGGTTCAACATTATGTTCCTAAGCTTCATCCAAAGGCTTGTAAGGAGCTGTATTTTGTTCATTTTCACTGCTGTATAATAACCCGTCATGTGAATAGACCTCAATTGCCACTGCTTTTGACACCATCTCCATCTATTTATCTTGTCAGACTTGTGAAGTTTTGCCAACCTAGTGGGTATATCCCACTGAAGCCTTAAATTGTATTTTCTGTTACTAATGAGGCTAAACATCTTTACCTATGCTTATTTGCCATTTTTTTTTCTTTTTCTGTGCAATGTTTGTTTATGCCTTTTGACACTTTTTTTTTCTATAGGGCTGTCTTTTCTTACTGATTTTGTAGGAGTTCTTTATATCTTAAATAGTGCTTTTTTGTTTGTTTTGCCATCCATCAATTTGTTGACCTTTTAACATTTTAGATGCATAGCATTTAGAACTAGAAGGACCTTACAAAATATATAGTTTATCTCCCTCATGTTACTGATGAGGAAAACTGAAGTGCAGAGAGGTAAAGCAACTGCCCAATACCACAGTTTGTGTTTTGAAGTGCTGAGGTGAGCACCTGGACCTTCCAGCCCCAAACTTTTTCCTATTATACTATGACAACCTCCTTTAGTGATTTGTCTCATTTATATTTCCATTTTTTTCAGTGCCCAAATAAAAATACATGTTCATGGCAGACAAAGAAAAAACAAACATTACCCAAATGAAGAAAATAAAAACCAGTTTTAATCTTACCTTCCAGTTGCAACTACTGCTCATATTTGGTTTTTCCTTTCTGGATAATAACTACAACAGATAATCGTTATGCACTGCTTGCTATTTGCTAATTACTATGGAGGGCTTATTATGTCCTGCACCAGGCATATTCTAAACACTTTACATGTATGGGCTCTTTTAATCCTTCCCACATCCTGTGATGTAGAATAAGGGGTGGAGAACCTGCAGCCCTGGGGCCACATGTGGCTTTCCAGATCCTTTAGTGTGGCCTTTTGACTGAATCCCAACTTTACAGAACAAAACCTTTTAATAAAGGGATTTGTTTTGCGAAGTTGAAAGGGGATTTGTTCTGTGAAGTTTGGAGTTGGCCGAGGGGATGCATTTGGGGATACAGGAGAGCCACATGTGGCCTTGAGGCTGCAGGTTCCCCATCCACCTGTGAAGATGTTATGCTACAGGGCAAAGGAGAATTCAGGTAGCAGATGGAATTAAGTTTAGTAACTGACCAATTTTAAAATAGGGAGAGTAGCCTAGATTACCCAGGTGGGCTCAAAGTCATCACAAGGGAAGAGAGAGGCAGAAAAGGAAGTGTCAGGGGGATGCAATAGTGAGAATGAGCCACTGCTGGCTTTGAAGATGGAGCAGGGGGCCATGAGTCAAGGAATGAGAGCAACCTCTGGAAACTCACAAGGCAAGAAAACAGATTTTCCCCTTGAGCTTCCAGAGAAGAATAAAACCCTGCTGATGACTTGATTTTAGCCCCACGTGGTAGACAGAATAATGGCCCCAAATTGTCCACATTCCAATCTCTGGCACCTGTGACTATGTTACCTTACATGGCAAAAGGAAGTTTGCAGATGTGATTAAGAATCTTGAAATGGGGAGATTATGCTGAATATTCTAGGGGGGCTCAATGTAATCACAAGGATCTTTATAATAAGGAAGCAGGAAGATGAGTCGGAGAGAAGATGTGATGACCAAAGCAGGGGTTGGAGTGCTGAGCTTTCAAGACAGAGGAAGGGGCCGCAAGCCAAGGCATGCAAGAGGCCTCTAGAAGAGGTAAGGAAACAGATTCTTCCCTTGAGCCCCTGGAGGAGTAGGATACTGTTGACACCTTGATTTTGGCCCAGTGAAACCTATTTTTGGACTCTGACCACCAGAAGTGTAAGATAATAAATTTATGCCATTTTAAGCCACTGAATTTATGGTATTTTTTACAGCAGCAATAGGAAATGAATAACACCTAATTTATAGCTGACCAAACCCACACAGCTAGTTAGTGGTAGAGACAGGATTTGAGTCCAAGCCACCTGGCTTCAGAGACTATATCCTTTACTACTGTGAGATATATATAGATGGATATAAACTTACATAGTACATACATTTCAATAAAAGCAATTCTTCCATATTTTGATAGTCATTCAGCACCACCATATTAAGTGGTTGTGTTCCATTCAATAAATGTACCACTACCCATATGTTACTTAATAAATCCTTTATCATTGGATACTTAGATTCTTTCTAATGTTTCCATGTCATGAGATTGGCAGTGATGAGCACTTTCTAGAGATATTAATTATTTCATTAGGAAAAAAATCTTAGAAATGCTAGTTCAAAAGAAGTACATTTTAGAAAATGGTCAAATTACCCTCCGAGAAGATTGCATTGGAATATAATTGAAAACAAAACACAACTAGAGTAGGAGCATATCTACCTTCTGTTTCTGCAACATTTCTGGTATTAATTTATTTTTCTTATCCATGGTACATAATCAACGTAATTGTACTTTTGTTTTTAAAAGTTTTAGTTGTAACATTATTTCTTCTGTATAATCATAGGTGTTAGAGGGAGAGGATATTTAGAGGTCATTTAGTCTAACCTTTTAAGTTATAGGTGAAGCCCCTGAGGCCCAGAGAGGGGAGCAAGCTTACTAAAAGCTCCCCTAGTGGGGAGAGAGCCTGGTGAGAACCCACCCACCGGACTGCAAGGCCAGCTGCTGCAAATGTCATGAGGTCAGCCTCCAAGTACCATTATTGATTTTTTCCCTTCAAGTCATGCGAGAAATCTCTCGTCCTTTTTTAGTCAGAAGCGTATTTTAAGGGCTGTAGAATCATAAGCTCACATACCCAATATTTAAAAGATAAACTCTAGCCCTTTCCTGGAGTGAGCCTATTTTCATTTTCTCATTGTGCAATGTGGAAGGATTGCTGGCAGACCACAACTCCCCCTCCCCTAATAATTTATTGTAAGAGTTCTTGGAATGGATAACCAGGTTTTCCATCATCACCATTTTCCCCATTTTTTTTCCTAACTTGGTTCGCTTGCTACCCAACAGTCTTGAGGTTCCTTCGTCCTGGGATCGGATGCACACAACGGGTATGCAAACTCCTTCCCTCGTCTCTGAAGCAAACAACGAAATAGGAAAAAGCACACTGCCATTTTCTGACTGACCTCAATCGCTGAGGGTGGACCCCGCACGTTACATCAGCAGGCCGGCTCCATTACACTGCCCTGCGCTGTGCTCGAGCTACTGAAATATTGATTTTCACAGAGCCGGCGCACACACACTGAAAAATCAATATTCCAGTGCACACAACAGAACGGGCGGCAGAGCCGGGACCAACTCCTGGGCCCAGCAAGCACAGCCGGCAGGCCTGGGCCGAGGAGGGGGTGGGGGCTGGAGCAGACAATGCCTGGGGAGAGGCCCCTGCCACCGGCAATGGTCAGATAAACAAGCGAGTGTGGGCAGGGAAGAGAAAGGAGAGTGGAGAGAAAGATCCTTGAGGATAAACAGTTGGAAGGAGCAATGATTTATCTTTCCATAGGGGGAAATGGGGAGAAGGAAAGTAAATTAAGAAGAGAGAATGGGAAGAATTTTCCAGGTAAGAATCTTCCCATAAAAAATGTATCTTTTGTTTTTCTGTATCATTCGGCCAGACTTAAGATGGAAAAATTATAAATATGATACAGATACTATATTACACTAAGGGGAAAAAAAAAAAAACTAGGCCAATTCGGAGATATACTTGTATTTTTTAAAAAATGCAACCCCTTGCTTTTTCCTTGGTGACTAGTGGGTGGCAGATCTTACCGTAACCGACAGAGTCACGTTTAGAACACGGGCTCTACCTTTGCAATGTCATTACTTTCTTTTCCTTGGGGAGGGGGCAGGGAAGGAAGATATCCTGGTCACGTGGCCACTCATCGATTTCCCTTTCTTTCTAGAAAAGCACCTTCTTTGGCGTGCTTGGGAAACCACATTAAGAACTGACTCTTTTACATGCCCCGTGACTGCTTCGTAGGGAATCCTGAGCTCCCCCGAGTCACACCTCCAACCAGATGTGGGCAGGAGAACGTAGCCCCTGGTGCCAGTCTCGGGTGCCCAGTGCCCAGTGCCCAGCGGACGTCAGGGCGGAGACGGACTGCAATTTCGGTTAGTCCTCGTAGACGTGCAAAAAAAAAAAAATTTCAGAACTGGCATTTTTACCACTTTTAGTTAGCTCTTTGGCCTCTTTTTTATTGGGGTGGTGGGCAGTTAATTAAAAGAAACGACTTTTAACCTCGATGAATTCTTGATTTTGCTTTGTCCTAGAATTCTCTTACCGAGAATCTCGCTATTAGTTCTCCCAACTCTCTGCGGGCGGAGGAAACTGTCCTCGAGGTTTCTTTTCCGTACTCTGCCGGGTGGGCGGCGCCGCCGCTTCTTCCCTAGCCCGGGAGAGACCCGGGCCCAACCTGGGCTCCGGGAGAAGCGGGCACTCAGGGGCATCTTGCAAAGCGCGGGCTCCTCGGGCCCGGCGGGGCCGGCCGGGGACAGCGTCGGGCCACACTGCCAACGCAGGCCGAACGGGCCGGGTGGCGCAGGGGGGTGCGCAGGAGGGCGGGGCAGGCCGCCCAGCCAGGTGGCCACCTGGAGCGCCCCGCCCGCCCGGCCCCGCCCGGCCCCGCCCCCGGCTGGGCGGGCGAGCCGCGCCCCCGCCCCTGCCCCCGCTGCCGCCGCCCACCCCCGCCCCCAGCCCCGCGCGCCCGCTCTATTTGCATAAGGAGGCGTCTCCGGGGCCCGCCTGGGGCGCACGTGACCCCGGGGGAGGCGGAGGGAACCTGCTGACTTGACATGAGCCGCTGAGCGGCTCCCCTTGGCGCGGAATAGCGAGAGCAGCCGTGACCTCCGACCCCGCCCGCCGGCAGCCAATAAGAGCGCAGGTCGTCTCCAAACCCAAAATTTCCACGTCGGCAAAAGTCAAGATGGAAGGGAGCGGAGCGGAGCGCTAGGGGGGGAGCCGGCCGGGGAATGCCTGGCGGCCGGCGCTGGAGGGACAGGCTGGGGAGCCTGCGGCGGGCTCGCGAGGGGCCACCCAAGAGGCTGTCCCGGCCGGGGGAGGCTGGAGCGCGACCACCGCCCCCAGCCCCGGGGATCCTCTGGGCGCCCCGCACTTCGCCAGCCTCCTGTGCACCCCCGCCCGGGGGACACAGCCCACTGCACCTCTGGCCCTGGCTCTTAGGGGTCGTAGGGGACGGGGCGGCGGCGAGGGGTTGGGCGGAAGATGGGGACGGCACTTTCCAGACCTGTTGCACGGGCGCAACAGCTGTTCAGGTGCGGTATGTGGGGGGAGGGGGAGGGTGGGAAGGTGGTCGCGTTTGCCACAGGGACAGGGGTGAGGGCGGGGGCTAAGAGCCGGTGTTGGGGACTGTGAGTAAGGGGGGAAGGTTGTGTGCAGACTGGGTCCGCGGGAAGCTCTGTGGGGCAGGGAGAATCCCAAAGAGTGAGTGGGTGGAGCGGAGGAGCTAGGACTGCATAGACCCGAGTTCCCGGGGCTGGGCGCAGGCTGCGAGAATAGAGTGGTGGGGATGGCCGGGGAAGGGGAGTCTCAGGGGAGGCCCCGCAAAGCCTTGCTCTTTTGGGTCGTCCCATCAGCGGGGCATTTCTCGGGCCTGTATTAGTCCCCCTTTTTAACTCCTCCAGCTCCGAAAATTCCTTGTGTAGTGCCCCCTCCCCCACCAGCTTTCCAGATGGGAAGGTAAAAAGTTGCCACGAGTTAGATGGAGTGAGTTAGCTGCTTGCAGAAGTTTCAGTAACAGTATGGAGGAGGTGGGGGTTCCAGTGGGAGTGGGTTCTAATCCGGGGATGGGCAGGAAGGAAGGGGAGAGTGTGTGATTCCCGCAGCCCGTTTGCTGTGACACTGAGACCAGAATTTGTCGAATCGGGCTGCTAAAACACCGTTTCTGTTGGGCGTCTGCTCTTGCTGACTGCGGCAGTAACTTTCCATAATTAATGACCCGTTCCATTATCGGTCGCATCCTGAGCTAAATTGCTTTTAACGAATTCTTCTTCTTTGTCTTAGCCGGCGGTGGGGGGAGCACACCTGCGGGAAGAAACTTGTGGAGGAAGACTGCACGTTTGGTCTTTTGAGGCAAAGTTCTGAGACACTCCGACTCTGAGTATGATAGAAGTCAGTGCACTACAGAACTTTGTCTCTGGAGGCTGTGGTCGCCGCCGCTGCGAGGGCTCCAGACTCTGGGCCACGTCGCTGCGCCTTTCCCTTGGGGGAGGGGCGAGGCCAGAGTGGGGTCCCAAGTGCTGCTCCGAGAATTTGAACTCCTTGGAAGCCGGTGGGTTGAACTACGTAAATGGGAGCAAAATCCCCCAAATCTTTCTTACTGCATCTTACCCTGGTGGATTCCTGACTGCAGAGTTTTTTTGGAAAAAATAAAAAAGCTGTGGGCTTTTCAAGGTTATTTAAAAGGTACTCAAAAAGTGGCTTCACTTATTGAGCGAGGAGAGGGGAGCTGCAGATGTATTAATGGGCGTGTTAGTGTGCAGTGCCTTACAGGAATTTAAACTCTCTACCCTTAAAGAAGGAAATGTATCTGTACAGAAGCCATGGCTAATGGTCCTTGTACTCAGGTGACCTGCGAGATAAATGAGAGCCTGCAAGGATCGAGTTTGGGGATCTATTCTCAATTCTGTTTCTGATTTAGGTCTAGTTGACTTTTATTTATTTTTTTTTTAATTAAGTCTTATTAATGGAAAGGAAGAACTTTTTCCAAGAAAGCATTTTAAAAGACACTTGTGGGGGAAAGTGATATTTATACTTTTGGGCTGTGGAAACACTTTATATGGCGAGTCTGCTCTTCTCATCCCTGGAATGTGGATTTAGGTTGCTTGCTGAGTTCCTCTCAATAGCCTGCTCTGTGCAATGGGCCAGTGACTGGCACTGAATTATAGTCCTGTCTGGTGGACATTGCCCTATATTGGTTTTATGAGCTTTGGGCTGGAGAGCTATTTGATCCAAGGAATTACAAAAGCTCCTTTTTAACAAAGGCACTGATCCAACAACATATATGTGTGGAGTGCCTGCTGGGTGCCAGGCACAGGGGACAGGGTGCTGAAGAAAAGAAGATGGTTCCTGTGCCCATGCTGCTGACAGCCAAGTGGGGGAAGCACCTTCTGGTGTTCAGAAGACTTGGGGTTGCCTGTTTGTGTCTCTGGGACGTCCTTGATTTTAAAAAGCCACCATTTTTTTTTTTTTCACTTGGGTATATTCCAGTTGGCTTATCGTTGGGAGAGGGCTGATAATGGAGGAAGGATCAGTGGAGAGAAAAGTATTCGGTTGCTTCATGTTAGAGCGTAATATGGTGTCTCGATCCCGAGGTAGCCTGTATTCTCTTTTACGTGGCTGTTACCCATTCTCCCACTTTCCACCAATGACCATTTTGCTTCAGTTCCTCAACTCTTTACTCAAAAGATGACTGAACTATATTTTTTTGCAGTTAAATAAAGTGATTTGAACTCAGGCACTTTTTGTATTCATTTGAGATGTAAGGTATACTTACTCGTAAAGCGGATTCTCTTTCCTGATTCTTGTGTCTACATGTGTCCAAAAGATACTGTGAAAATACTGATCTCTAACAAAACTTAAACTTTGTAAGAGAATACAGGTGACTCTTTTGAGGGTACAGGGTGAAGTGGTTGACTAGGAGAGTGGTCATCCCTGCAAAGGAATTAGGTCAGGATCTCACCTCCAAAGAAAGGTAAGGTTTGCAGTCGCTGACATGATTTGGTCTGGTTTGACTTTATTCTTTAATGATTTGCTTGTCTCTGTGTCTAACCAAACAGGAGGACTATGGTTTACTCTGGTGCTAAGGATGCCAGGAGTAGGAACCAGGAAAATTGGCAGTCTGGGGGTGTTAACTGTAAACCGGGCATTGCCTTAGTCATTTAGTAACCAGTGTGTTGTCACTTCCTGAGCATCAGGTGTTATTCTAGATGCTAAGGATGCAGCAGCAAACAAAATAGGCCAAAATCCCTGCCCTCTTGGAGATGGTTCTCATGCAAGAGATAGACAATTGAATATAAAATAATCAGAAGAGTGGTGAGTATGTCAGGGAAGGGAGAACAGGGAATGCTCAGGAGGCCATGGTACCCTTTTAACCTGGATAGCTGGGCTGAAGGAAACCATCACCAGCAACTCACTTTGCATGGCCCAGGCCCTAGTGTCTATTTTAGGCATTTCAAGTGAATGAACCAAACAGTAAGTGCACTGAAACCGCAGCCATGTGGCTCTTAACGATGAGGATACATTTTGAGAAATGCGTTGTTAGGTGATTTCATCATTGTGTGAACATCAAACAGCAAGTGTACTCATACAAACCTAGATGGTATAGCCTACTACGCAGCCAGCCTATATGGTAAGAACCTACTGCTCCCAGGATACAAACCTGCATGGTATGTTATAGTACTGACTACTGTAGGAAATTGTTAACACGGTGTTTGCGTAACCAAGCATACCTAGACATAGAAAAGGTACAGTAAAAATAGGGTAAAAAGATTAAAAAATGGTGCACCTGGAGAGGGCATTTACTGCAAATAGAACTTGCAGGACTGGAAGTTGCTCTGGGTGGGTCAGCGAGTGAGTGGTGAGTGAATATGAAGGCCTGTGACGTTACTGCACAACACTACTGCAGACTCCATAAAACACTGAACATTTAGGCTACACTACATTTATAAAAATTAAATAATTGCACTGCCATGTTATGACAGCTACAATATCACTAGGCCATAGGAATATTTCAGCTCCATGATAATCTTATGAGACTACTGTCATATATATATATGATCGCTCATTGACTGCAATGTCATTATGTGGCATAGGACTGTATATGCCATAGCCTTTTTTTTTTTTTTTTAGAGACAGGGTCTCACTCTGTTGCCTAGGCTGGAGTGCAGTGGCATGATCGTGGCTCACTGTAACCTCAAACTCCTGGGCTCAAGTGATCCTCCTGCCTCAGCCTCCTGGCTTTTTATTTTAATAGAAAGAGCATTTTTTATTTTTCAGTTGCAAAGTTTGGGAGGTGTGGGGTATGATAAAAGATCTTCAGTGGGGAGGCAGAGGCACCAGAGAACCACATCCCTGGGCCACTGCTGCCTCATTTGTGTATAACGTGCAACCACATCTTCCAGCAGCAGAATTCTAGTATTCTAGGTAACCTTGCATTTCAAAGAGTGTTGATGCCAAAGAACTCCAAGTGCTCTCAGATATTCTTTAAATGGTTAGGACTGTGGTGGACAACATACTTCTCAGGGTCCCCAGGAGCCACAGGAGTGCTGCCATCCAGTCCACTGTGATGTTCAGAAAACACTTTTGTGCTAAACTTCTCTTGTTATTTGACTTAAATCTTCTTATGCATGGTGGCAGTACATACAGGGAGCTTTCATGGG